TAGATGACCTGGTTTTTCAATGATGCTGCACAAAGAGCATTTTAAGAAGTTTTGTACAAGAAATTACCTTCATGAAAAATTTTAAGTGGTCGGTTGCCCCTCTTCCAGGCCAGCTCTCTGCTGTGGCCAGGGAGTGCAGTGGAGGACCAGGATAAGTATCTGGCTCCTGCTTTCGGATCAGCGCGGTGCGCTGGCCACAGTGCGCCAGCCGCGGCAGCCTTTGGAGGGTGAACCAACGGCAAAAGGAAGACCTTTCTCTCTGTCTCTCTCTCTCACTGTCCACTCTGCCTGTCAAAAAAATTTTTTTTAAGTGGTATTCTTTTTCCCACCATCAGGTAGATATGGTTATCTGTGAAAATATCCCTTTTCCTCAAAATTTATGTTCTTTATGATGAAAACACATGAGATAAAGGGAAGAGTATTCTATCCAGAATTTCTTAACTTATTGTTGCTTTAATATCATGAACAACACAGGGATGGTAACACTTATTTATGAATACTATTTTGAAAAGCTGAAACAAGCACTTTAAAATGAAAACTCAGAACACAAGCTAGAATTTAATAATAAATGTCAGTTTCCACATAATAAAAGTCCATTTTCTCCACATTGGTTGGATAAGAGATCAATTGATGTTGTTTTATTTCATATCAAAGGGAATAAAATCTTGTTGAATATTCTGCCTCAAAGGAAAGAGAAAGCGTGCTTTCTAGAGATGTAGGTGTGGAAGTTGATGCAGAGACTTTACAGGGAGGAACTGTCACCCAATGCTGTGTGTCCTGGCTCAGTCATTTAAGAAGGAAACTGTTTTGAAAGAGAGCATGATGAAAGGCGGAGGTCAATTTTTGTTTTTGAGGAGTGGGCATGAGAGAGGGTTCTCATATATTTTTTAACTTTTTATTTCAAAAGAATTTTAAGTTTACCAAAAATAATTTGAGTTGTTCAAAGACTTCCCATATACACTGTGCCCCAGATTCTATTAATAACATTGTAGTGTATTTGTCACAGTACGTAAACCACATCCAACTTTTGATATTTATTTTTAATAAAAACTTCTATCCCTCTCACAACCTCTAATAATTGAAATTTGCTGTTTGTATTGAGTGATTTTTAGCTTTTCCACATGAGGGAAGATCATGCTGTGTTTGCCTGACTTATTTCAGTTAACTTGATGCCTCTAATTCCATCCATTTTGCCATAAATGACATGATTTCTTTTCTTTTCATTGGTGAATAGCATTCAATTGCACAAGTATACCATAATTTCTTTATGCATTCACACGATGGTGGACATCTTGGTTGATTTTGTATCTTGACTGTTGTGAATAGTATGACAATAAACAGGGTGGATTATTTGATGCAGTATTTCATTCCTTTTGAATATATGCACAGTAGTAGAATTGCTTGATCATATAGAAGTTCCATTTCTAGTTTGTTAAGAAATCTCCAATCTCCATACACTGTAGCTGTATTGATTTACATTCCCACTAACAGTGTAAAAGATTTCCCAATTTTCCATATCCTAACCAGCATTTGTTACTTTCTGTCTTTTTTGATAACAGTCATTTTAACAGGGTGAGGTGATATCTCATGGTGGCTTTAATTTTCATTTCCCTACGTCTAGTGATCTTGAATTTATTTTTTCATCTACATGTTGGCCATTTGTGTTTTTTCTCTTGAGAACTGCCATTTGTGACCTTTGGCCAATTTTTAACTGAATTCGTTGCTTTTTATTGTTGTTGTTGTTGAGTTTTTTTGAGTTGCTGATATATTCTGGATATATTTTGCTTGTCTAGGAAACACTTTATTTCTCCTTCCCTTCTAAAGGATAGCTTTGTTGTATATCATGTTTTTGGTGAGAAGTTTTTTTTTTTTTTTCTTTCAAGACCTTGAATTTATCGTCCCATTTTCTTCTGTCCTCTAGGAGTTCTGCTGAGAAGTCTGATGTTAGTCTACTGGGTTTTCCTTTTAATGTAAAGTGACATTTTTTTCTGTCATAGTCTAGGATTCTCTCTTTGTCCTTAGCTTTTCACAATTTAACCAAAATATGTCTTATAGAAAGTCTTTTTTGATTGAAACCGCTTAAAATTGTTTGAGGTTCCTGTACCTAGAAGTCCATGTCTCTTTCAAGACTTGAGAGAAGTTTTCAACTATTGTTTCATTCAGGAGGTTCTCGAAGACTTCTTCCTTTCTGTCTGCTTTAGATATCCCTACAATATGAATATTTGTTTACTTAATGCCATTCTATGTTACATATACTTTTTTTCCTTCATTGCGATTATTTTTCTTTTATTTTTATCTGACTGATTTATTTCAAAAGTATTGTACTTCGGATAACTCATTCTTTCCTCTATTTGATCTATTCTCAGCTTCATTCTTTATTTCATTGTAGTTTTTAGTGCTGAAATTTTATTTGATTATTTTTAATGATTTCTGTCTCTTTATTGAATTTCTCATTCATATCATGTATTGATTTTTTTTGTTTCCTTAAACTGTCTGTATTTTCTTGCATCTAATTGAATTTCTTTAGGATCACTAATTTGAGTTCTTTTTCAGGCATTTCAAAGATTTTCTTCATATCAGGAACTATTTCTGAAGAATTTTGTATTCTTTTGGAGATGTTATGCTTCCTAACTTCTTGTTTCCTGTGTTCCTACATGGACATCTGTTCATCTAGCTTATCTAGTGTAATATTCCCTTCTTTTTTATGGAATAAATTTCATTGGAATATACCTTTGTGTTCAAATGCAATGAAAGTTGTTGTTTGGCTTTGGTTCTAAGTAAGTCCGGAGTGTAACTGTGAGTGATTTTTTTTTTAATTTTAATCAACGTCGTCAGCACTGTATACAATTTCTGCAGCTGTCTAGTCTGCAGCAGTTCATATAATTAGAATTATGACCTTGATGTGAACATAGGCTCCCTAACATGTGTATCCTCAGTCCCCAGAGAGTTGGGTGTCAATCACATTAGGGATCGCGATGCCTAGATTTTCATTATTTGGTGCTAAGGGACACAGAAGGGGCTGTCTGTTTTTCTCTCCTGGCAGACTGAGTAATGCTGGGATTTGTGACATCAAGAGCTGTGGCTCTGGGACTCTTTGATGTGGAAACTTCTTAAGGCCCTACTGGGACAGTATAACTGGTACTAGGGCTTATAGCCTCCAAAACCATAGTCCCCACACTGCAGGACGTGAATGGGACTCCAGAATACACTGGGGCTTTTTCTCTGGCAAGTGTGTCTGCAATGGTGCAATGCAGGTGGGTTCCTCTAGTCCCACAGGGTGGATTCTGGTAATCATGCAGAATCTAGTACTAACAGGTGCAGTTCTGGAGGTACAAGAAGAGGGATCATTATCCTCAAAGTTTCATGGGGTGTAAGACAATTGTGTTGCAGAGTTCTTACAGACTGAAGCAGAGGAATGTAAACAGGTCTCTCAGGTTCTGCAAGTGAATGTGAGTTATCTCAGGGATTGCAGTACCGACTGGGACAACCTTAGATTTTCAGGGCGTGCAAGGGTGATGTTTTGCATCCTTCACCATATGTTAAGAGATGCACAGGGGAATCTCTTAGGTCAGTCCTCTCAGACGTTTTATGGGCTACTGCTAGTACTGAACCTGGAGAAGCCAAGTGGAATTCCCCCGGATGGCACAGAGCAAGTGAGTACAGCTCTGGGGCTTGTGCCCACAGTTCTCTCCGCTACAGGGTGCAGGGGGCCTGCTCTCTGCCCTGTTCTCTGGGTCTGGCAGCTTCCTGTAGCACTGAGGTTGTTTGCTGTCCTTTAAGTCAGAATAGAGGTTAGTAGGGGCTCTACCCCAGAAGCTCAGAATCTTGCACGTTGGGAGCGGAGGGAAGCAATATCTTTCTTTTTCAGAGCTGAGTAGTCACTGAAACCCCAGTGAGCTCTATAAGCTGGATTTGAAGTAGCCAGGCCTGTGATATTCTCCCCTATAGCTAGTGTGCCAGTCTGGGCCACGGTGGGGACTGCTGGGATGATTTCTTCTTACTTTTTCCTATTGGGGAGCCACCATGGTAACTATGGGGGTCGCAGTGGGTTTTGTTCCTCTCTGTCTGCTGACTTTTGAAGTCTGCTCCTGTTGCCATTCCTGTCACATTTTTACTGAAATTTTCCTTCAATACGTCCCTTGGAAATGCAGTCCTTCCTTTTGGTTATGCTATTTTACTATTACTGAGGTGAGTGAGGCTTCTTTCTTTTCAGCTGCCTTTGTCCCTAATCAGCTTACTCTTTTATTCCATTTTCTCCCAGGTTTTCTTCAAGTCTTAATTTTCTCCAGAACATTTTTCCAAACAATTACAAGCATTAAAACTCTTCACTATTGGAAATTCTGATCATAGATGTTTAACATTCAATTATATGTTTTGCCTTATTCTTTAATATAGCTGAAATGGATACTAAGTGATTGTAGTGTTTTTTAGTTTCATTTCCTTTGTATCTCTGCACAATGCTGGTTATTAAAATTCATTAGCTATTTGTTAATTGCTATACCATCACAGAAAAAATTACTATCATTTAGAAGGAATCACATTTTCAATTTCTACTTTTCACTTAGCCACTTGCCTCTCATAGAACTGAAGAATACTAGGGGCTGGCGCTGTGGCCTGCAGTGCCAGCATCCCATTTGTGCATTGGTTCAAGTCCCGGATGCTCCATTTCCTATCCAGCTCTCTGCTATGGCCTGGAAAAGCAGTAGAAGATGGATCAAGCCCTTGGGCCCCTGCACCCACATGGGAGACCAAGATGAAGCTCCTGGCTTCTGGCTTATGGGTCAGCGCAGCTCAGGCTATTGTGGCCAGTTGAGAAGTAGACCAGCAGATGGATGACCTCTCTCTCTCTGCCTCTCCTTCTCTTTCTGTCTAACTCTAACTTTCAAGTAAAATAAATAAATCTTTTTTAAAAAAGAAATGAATGCTAACGATAGAAACAATGCGTTTATTCTCCAAGTCAGAAAGGGGTAATACCATCCTGTCTGAACCATGGCTGGCAATAACCTGCTAGTCTCCCATCAGCATTCCACTGTGATTTCACTCAGAACCTACAAGATCAACAGGAAATGAATGTTGTCACAAAGTGCTTGGTTACTGTGTCGTCTTCTATAGTCCAACAGTGTAGGGGCCCCAACACGTTAGGCATTCTTGACTTCCTGTGAAGGCATTACAAGGTAAGATTGAGACTAACTGATCAATATCTTCCTTTGTAAGAGAAAAGAAGGGGCAGTCAGCCTCAGGTTTTACAGTGTAATTTAATTCTGACTGCGTTCTCCATTTCCCTAATTCAATTGGCCTTTCTCCCTCAGCCTCTCTGAATATTATTACTTCTCTCACTTTGGGAACTATGCCTTCTCACACAGAGGGACACGTCTGACTTTTGACTCTTCTTGAAGGTACTAATACAGTTTTTTTTCCTGATGTTAATAGAGGCTTTGTTACCTGAAAATCAGTTTAAGATTCAGCTGACTCCAAACAGAGAGGTAGAAATATGGTGATTACTGCAATTCTAGTTCAGAACCATAACCAGCAAGACTTGGTTGGTAAGTTTGACACGCAATACATTTTCTTTTCTTTCTTACAGAGCAAAACAGTAAGCAAGGAAAATGCATTCTTTATTTGAGCTTCTGTTTGCTCTCCACTTATTAAAATTTAACTTTGGTATTATTTGGACTCAGAAAGTTTTGATACCTTCTCAAAGAGATTCTTATCAAAAGGGCCTCCACATTTGATGGAAATACTTCTGTCAGAGTAAATCTGGAATGATTGAGTCCACTCCATGTAGAACCCATAGATCTTATCCTCTGATTCCCCACATTTTTGCCTCACTAGAGAGAGAAGAGGGATTTCCATTCATTTTGCACCATTAAAAGCATGTTAAATTCTACATATGTTTAACATCCTATGAAATCTGACAGCATGCTGTTACTAGATTCTGTGAGTAGTCAAACCAAGTCAATTTCTGTTAACTTTTTTTTTTATTGTTTAAGAGGGAGGCCACCAGTCATTGGTTCACTTCCCAAATACCCTCAAAAACCTGGACGAGACAAGGGCCAGTGCTGGGATATGGGAATGCAAGCCAGGTGTCCCACATAAATGGCAGGAAATCAATTACTAGAGCCAACACTATGGCCCCCAGGGTCTGCATCACCAAAGAGCTGAGTCAGGAACTGGAGTTGGGTGTTAAACCCAGGTACTCTGATATGGGATGTGAGCAATTTGACAGCAGGCTAAACATGTGCCCTGAGTCAGTTTTTAAAAAATACATTTAAAGCAAATGGTAGAAGTTGTGATTCTACTAAAAATGATAATTATATCTTGGAAGAAAATCTGAAATGTTTATGACTGCAGAGTAGTAACTTTATATACTAAAACAAGTAAAAGAAAGCCTGTAAGAGTTTTGAATAAGTCAATTATGTGCCAATTTCCTTTGGAAGGTTCTTAAGGTGAATTTATAGACATATAAATGAAAAGAATTCAAGCATAGCCATCCCTCAAGCCTCCATGTATTTTAATCAATCTCAGAAATCTGCTTCAAAACATGAGACATTGTTAGAAAAAATTCAGAGGTGGTGGTTTGGTGGGTATCACATGGGTAGAAAATTATTTTGATCATTCGAATATTAAAATGCATTTTATCTAAGGAATAATGAAATATTTAAAGCATCAGTGAATATTAAATTTTCAAAGACTAAACTATATTATAAACAATTATCCAAAAACTGAGCATTCACGAGTGACATCATTTTGAAATAAGACAGCATTCAGATTGGTCCTTAGCACTGGCTGTTTCCCTGTGGCACATGGGCTCTGTGCAGTCATTCTGCGGATGTCTACACTCTGAGTCAGTATGTCGGCACAAAGGAGACCTTTTAAGCTACAGAAATGCACATTTATAATCAAATCTAACTGTACTCAAAGACATTCATTTTCCATTTCTCAGTAAATAATCCTCCCATATTCTCAATTACAGCCTGAGACAGTTTGAATTTTTTATACCAGATATTTTGCTTTGGTTGGTAGATTTTAAATTTCTATAACTTGACAGTTAAAGTACTTTAACCCTGACTGGCAGTTTCCATTAGAGGAGTAACTTATTTAAATGATTTCTGTATGATGGAAGAAAAAATGAAAAAAAAATCAAATGGCCTTCAAATTATGTAGTTCTTTATTTCTAAAATGTAATCTTTCCTTCCTTGTTAATAAACCAACAATAGCAAATGTGGAAAATTGCTATCTTATAACAGGAGAGCAATATTTTAATGATTCTGATACTAAAATGAAAACCTTGTTTTAAAACACTTTATATGTTCTGTATTGCTGTCATACTTTATTTTTGTGAGATTTTTTGAATAAACTGCTGAATAAATACTTGAATAATAATATTTCCTTTTAATTCGTTTTCCTGTTATTTGCCTTTTGGGTTTAATAGGGATTGGGTTTTAATCGAGGAAGAAGTAATGAAGGTACCAGAAGCGAAGTGACAGGCTGTTTTTAGAAAATCAAGGTCAGGGGTAGCAGATACAGTATTCCTCTCACTTTAGTTTGTGGTAGGGGCTTATACCAACTGTAAGGGGCAATATCTATACAGTGTCATGATCATACTTTGCATTCTACACGAGTTCAAATTTTTGTTGTTTTTGTTTTTCCTCCCTCTTGTTCCCCTCAGGTTCACACATGTAATTTTGTAGACATTTGATTCATTAAGAAGGTGGGAATGAATTTGGGTTGTGCCTGTTTTATATGTTGCCTACTTTATTGCCAGCCACACTCTCAGCGGATGCTTGACATCTTACACCTGCATGTATAGGAACAGCTTCCAATCTGCTCTTCTTGGAATTTTCATTCTGTTGTAAACACTGTGATGTCTGAATTAAATGAGCTTTTTAAAAATATTCTTTTTTATTTATTTGAAAGAGTTACATACAAAGAGGAGAGAGGAAGAGGGAGAGGGCGAGGAGGAGGTGGAGGGGGAGGAAGAGGTAGAGAAGGGGAGGGGGAGAAGTGGAGGGGGAAGGGGAGAAGGGGAGGGGAGGGGAGAAGGAGAAGGGGAGGGGAAGGGGAGGGAGAAGGAATCTTTCAACTGCTGTTTCACTCTCCAAATCTCCACAAAGCCAGGGTTGGGTCAGGCTGAAGCCAGGAGCCAGGAATTCCAACCTGATCTCTCATGAAGGTGGCAGGGAGCCAGGTACTTGGGCCATCTTCCACCGCTTTCCCAGGTGCATTATCAAAGAGGTAGATAGGAAGTAGTGTAGCCTAGTCTCAAACAGGTACTAACGGGATCCTCACTTCACAGATGGCAGCTTAATTCACTGCTCCACACCACAAACACTGAAGTGCTAGTTGGTTTTAAAAGGCGTATATGATTATCATTGAAACCCTAATCGAGCTGTTGGTAGCTCCAGATGATAAAGGATATTTTCTATTTCAAGGCCTGCATGGTCTAGTCTGTGCCTCCATTTTTCACACCTCATGTCAAGCATCTTATTATCACCTGCCTCCACAAACTCATATCTATCTAATTTCTGGTAATCCATTTGAAGTCTCCAAGTGGTTTCAGAGCTTTTATATGTATTATCCCATGAATGGAAGCCATCTTTTTGATTAGTTAACTCCTACATATTCATAAAAGCCAAAAGCAAGTACTTCATAGACAAGTGGATAATTCTCACCCCATGTCTCTTCTGGAACGTACCATAGTAACAAAGGATGGTAACTGTTGTCTGCTTACATGCCAGTCACTACAATCAGTCTATCCATTTACTTGAGGATATGAAAAATAAAAATGGAAATGCATTATTCATTTTTGTATCATAAGTCCACAGCCTTGCAACTCTATACATAGTAATACTTATAAATATTTGATTAATCAATCAATATAGCAATTCAGGTTTAGTATATGCATAAAACATCTGTCTTCATTCAGTTACTGCATATTAACATGCCAGCTTAACATTTCAGCCTGATTAAGACGTAATCTTACTCAAATATCCTTTTTTTGTGAGGTACCTGAGTGGGTAATGAAATTCTAGAAATAATGGGGCCAATATTGTGTCATAGTGGGCTAAGCCTGCACCTGCGGCACCAGCATCCCATATGGGGGCATTCATGTCCAGCTGCTCCTCTTCCCATCCAGCTCTATGCTTTCTCATGGGAAAGCAGTAGAATATGCCCAAAGTGGTTGGGTCCCTGCACAAGTGTGGGAGACCCTTAAGAGGCTCCTGGCTTGTAATTGGCCCAATTCAGGCCATTGCAGCCATTTGGGGAGTGAACCAGTGGATGGAGAACCTTTTTTTTTTCTCTCTCTCTGTGTAACTACCTCTCAAATCAATAAATAAATCTTTAAAAAAAGAAATTTTAGAAATAATCCTGATGAATATTCTTCAAGAGACTCTGACATCAAAATGCAGAGGAGAAAAGTAGTAATGAAAATTCGGCAAACTGAGAACTGAAAATGTATGTTTTATATCATTAGAGTGATATTTATTTATATTTATTTGTACTTCTTTTCAAATCTAATTTCATATTTTCTGACAAAAATTTAAACATATTAACAGCTGGCCCTGATAAGAACAAGTACTGTTTGTTTATATATTAACTTGGCATTAGTGTCTTCATTCAGTAGAGGAGGTTAAACTATATTTGAATAGATCCATTAAAAAAGAACACATGCTATTCTTAGGTAATGTTTATATGGTGGAAGGAGTCACTTGCTCTGCAAGGTTGGGTTAAGGTGTCATGTACAGTGAAATGTGCATTGTTTTGTGAATTGAAGTATTTTTTCTTTGAGGTCCAGTTTTAGAGTAAAAAGTTGAGTATGAATAAACATCTTTTTAAAAAAATCTAATTTATTTAAAAGGCAGAATATCAGAGATAGAAATAGAGACAGAGGTAGAGATAGAGGCAGAGACAGACAGAGACAAAGAGAGATAGAGACAGAGAAAGAGATAGAGACAGAGAAAGAGATAGAAATAGAGACAGAGATATAGAGACAGAGATGGAAGCAGAGACAGAGATTCAGAGATAGAGATTCAGAGACAGAAAAAAAGATATAGAGACAGAGATAGAGATAGATGGGGCTGGCGCTGTGGCATAGCAGGTTAATGCCTGAAGTGCATGAAGTGCTGGCATCACATATGGGTGCCGATTCACTTCTAGTCCTGGCTGCTCCTCTTCTGATCCAGCTCTCTGCTATGGCCTGGAAAGCAGTAGAAGATGGCTTAAGTCCTTGGGCCCTTGCACCCACATGGGAGACCCAGAAGAAGCTCCTGGCTTCAGATCAGCTCAGCTCCAGCCATTGTGGTCATCTGGGGAGTGAACTAGTGAACTAGTGGATGGAAGACCTCTCTCTGTCTCTACCTCTCTCTGTAACTGTCTTTCAAATAAATAAAATAAA